ATTTCTGTTATTTCAACGAGGGGTTGAATAAGAAATACCTTGCAGATTATAGCAAAGAAATAGAGATAAAGGATAAAAAGAAATTAAAATTATTATTTCAATATTATTTTTTTAAAAAAAGTATTTTAATCGGTTCATTCATTCACATTAGTCCGATTTCAAGGTGAGTTTAGAATTAATACTTTAAGGGGGCGTTTGGTTGGGGGGAATTTTTTTTGAATACTGAGGAAATGTAATTATTAGGGAAGTGGTAGAAAAATGAGTTTGATAGAAAAGTTAAAAAAAATTGTTTGGTAGATCAAATTTTTACCGGAAATATTGACACAATTTTAGCATCAACTTTTTTATTTATCCTGCAAAATCACAATATCACCCGCTGGATGAGATTTTTCTTTGAGAATTTGATTTAAGATTACACACAAAAAATTTCCCCATCAATACAATTTTCCCATTTTTTTTTTAAGTGCTACCAAACATCGTAAAATTGAATATCCACCCTCACTTCCCCGTGCATCTTACAAAAATCCTGCAACCAAAGACCACCTAAATTCTAAGATAATATCGAGCACCATCTAGTTTAAATTTTGTTCTCTCAACTCAAGTAATTTAATGGCGGGCTAATACGCTACATAAAACTATTTTATGTAACATTTACTGGAAAAGCTAATTTTGTTTCCTATTCATTTTGCATTTTTGCACCACCGCAAATTTTCTTTATATTAATTTTTTTAAAGAATTTTCATCTTTATTTTTCGTGTTTTAAACCTTGCCAAAAAAATTCACACCTCGCTCGTCGTTCCCCGCGAGATTTCACTCTGACGATTTTCTGGCGACGTCGTCATTGCCGAGATTGATGCTTTTATTCGTCTTCCGTGCCAAGGAGATGCCCCTAACATTCGTCTTTGAACTGCAACCTCTCCCTCCACCATCGTCTTTGCAAGCTATCGGAATTACAATCGGTGTGAATCTTGGGCAATCGCAGGTTTCAAAATATATTGAATCATTTCTCTGGTTACTTGGTGTTTTGATATGATTTTTTTGGTTTTGTAGGTTGAAAAGAATAAAAAGATAAGAGTTTGAAGATGGAGGTGGTGGGAGAGTTGCTTTAATTAAAGAGATAGTTGATTGAGTTGAACGATTGAACTTAGCGAGAAGAATGCAAACAAACATATAGAGCTATCTCGATAAGATTGTGAGTCCCTTAATTTGCTGTTAGGAGTTGTATTTGGTTTGGTAGCTCTTATAACATTACCTTGATAAGATTGTAAAGTTATCTCGAATTTGTGATGTTTATCCAACGTTCCCAATTGATTCTCTTTGTACTACCTGTTTCCATGTTTGACCTCGTCCGAAATTTTCTAAGATGCTCAATAGCGAATTGTTAATTTAAATTTGAGATTCCATGGTTTTGTAGTTTTTCTTTTCTGCAGTATAATTTGGAAATTTTAGCCGTCTGTACCTAGCAAACTTGTTCTACGAATTGGAGAGAAAGATAGTTCTGTAGTTGATATATTGTTTTCTTTCTACCATGGTACAGTACCTTTTGTCTGCGAGCAAGGAAAAAATATTGGCCTGCAGTTATTATATATATTTTTTATTACAATGTAGATTCCCCTATGTGTGATTGTTGCTTGGATTCTGGATATCTAAATGGACCTCAACTTCAACCTACCAGAGACATGTTCTCTTGCTTTGGCAATAATAGCCACTGCTTTCACATTACAGGTACACTTACTCTCATTTTAGCTGGCAGAAACATCCACTACAAAAAAATATCTGTAATGATTTATGCAGGTCAAAGAGCTATTGACCAAATTGAGGAAAAATTGTATTAAAGCAGAGAACAAAAGGTGAAAAACTACAAGTGATTTAAAGTGGCATGAAGTTAAACAGGTGATTTTTTTTCTACCTTGTCGCCTTCAAGGTCATCACGCAGCCTAAGTATTGCGGCTATTGTTTTGTTGATACAAGGTTTGGGAAATCATCCATCAGAGTCGGGGCTACTTTTCACATTCTGCTTTTTGTGTCCGTGGTGTTGGTTGATACTTTTAGACAGCATTAATTTTTCCCTTTAAGAAAATAGGATATGAACGAAAATTTAACCGAGTTAATTTTAAAAAAAATTAGAAAAATAAAGTAAATTAGCAATTTAGTTATTATAAATATATGTTCGCGTTAGTGTGAATTTGTAAAACTTAAATTACCTTCACTTTTGTGTCTGCAATAGATTAACTTGATACGAGTTTTATAAAGGTTAATTTGTACAATAATTAAATTTAAAAATTGAAATGTAAGTCATGAATAATTTTAAGGATTACAGTTGCTAATTTATCCTTATATATATATAATTTATCCATTAATTTCTACTTAATATGTTAGTAAAGACTATTGTATTAATATTGCAAGTTGATCTTCTCATCTTAAAAAAGACATAACATGGATAATTATAAACATTCAAAGGTGGATTAATGATGGTTATAATTGTCTCATATAACAATATCATATTATTTTTTTAAAACATGATCCAATTCCATTAATATTAATCGGGTTATTCTTCCTTTCTCAATTAATTTCATTCAATAAGACATACTGATATTAAAATTTTCAAGTTATCTTTTACACCAATCCATTAATTATTATACCCATTGAGGTTTTTGATAAGGACATGAAAGTTATGACTTAATAACTTATGACTTACGAGTGCATATTTATATGCATAATTTTTTTTGTATTTATTATATAAATAAAATGTTTAAATTTAATCATTCATAATGGACTAATTTAAAATTTTCCTTGTATTTGTTAAAGAACGTTATTGGATTTAATGATTACACACCAAGATCTTTCTGCAAAAGATAATTTAGCTATCAGTTAATCATCCTATATTCATTTTTGCAATATACAATTCAGATTTCAGTAACCTCTTTTCTCTCTTTCCTTCTCTCACTCTCTCTCATGGCTTTCTGGAACACGAAACACGTAAGAGAAAGAGAAACCCAGTTTCAAGGACGCCGTTTCGTCAAGTGAACCGCAGAAGATTCACGAAATTGCAAAAAGAAATTAACCCGGAAACTGAATGCAATAAAGCATCTGTGTTGTACTTTACCACTCAACATGTTATGATTATTTACCCGGGTACACCCCTATCTACCCGGGTACATAATTCAAAAAAATTTCAGATTCAAGAAATATACCCGGGTAGGGAGGAGTGTACCCGGGTAGGTAAAAAATTTCAAAATATACCTGGGTAGGTAGGGGTGTACCCGGGTAGGCTTCATGGTCAACGGTCAAACAGGAGCAGATTGGTGTTATGTTTTCTGAAGAGGTTAAATTTTTGAAATAATTTATAAATAAGATTAATTTGGTAATTAATTATTAAAAAAAAACTATAATGGTCAAAAAGCCCTCGTCATCACTTAACATCTGGTTAACAATCTTGTTAGAATTTCTCTTCCAGGTAAACATTTAAGGCTACAGAACAACACGCTCAAACTAGCCCCATAATCTGGCCAGAATATCTTGAAAAAACAGTCACTCAAGTTCATTTCATTTCTCTTGGTCTTTTCTTTATTGCGGTATTCAAAGTATTACAAGCATGGGAAAGCTAAAACACTCAAATGGTAAGCGTGGCATATGGCTAGAACGTAATTGGATTTAATGATTACACCAAGATCTTTCTGCAAAACATATTTCTGTTATTAAATGAATTTAATCCTGTCAGATCCGAACTCAGAAACTTCTCGTTTCATCTGAAGTCATAGCTTTTCACCGTGGTCACATAAATTATTGAACAAAAGTTAATAGCTTTTCACCGAGGTTACATAAATTATTGAACAAAAGTTGTGTTGTCCTTTTTAATTTGGTAAAAATAATTGATGAACCGGATAGAAAACTAATTTTGTTATCATTCTCACTTACTCCCCTAGAAGGCATTTGTAACATATCAATCATTTTTTTTTCCCGTATAATCAATGAACGTGATTTGAAAAAAAGAAATAGAAATAGCCAGCTCAAGTTTTATTAATCACAATGCCATTTTATGATAACAATCATTTGCTTTTTGTTACACATAACTTTCATTAACAAATACAAGTTATATATATATATATATATATATATATATATATATATATATATCTATATATATAAAATTGGGGGTCTAATCTATATATATATATATCTATATATATAAAATTGGGGGTCTAATCTATTACCTGTTCGCTATTTAGGGTTTTTTTTTTTTTTTTTTTAAACTGTGCCGCTGCTTTAGTGCAGAGCAATTAGGCAAAGAGGGACAGAGCCGGAAACAGAGTAAAAAGAATGCGATACCAGTAATGGGTTACAGGCCAGTGCGATGTGACTTCTTTAAAGGGTAATTCTAATTGGAATAAGGTCTGTGTTATTATTGTTATTATTGTGTGTTATTATGGTTGACGCAGACCCTCAATTGGTAAGGTATCTGACACCGGATAAAACGCGCATGTGGGGAAAGTACGTCATGCCTAACAAATTTATGACACTTAAATCTTAACTCGTACCCATATGTGGCGCGACTTCTCGCATTATATTAGTAATATTTTCCTTTTTATGGGTGAAAAGACCGCCAAATTCTTTATGCATAACATAAAATATATGCAGCTATCTGCATTTCTTTATACTGAAAATATGATACTATTCTGCTATTTTATATTCTTAGAACCAGAGCCATCAAATTTAATGTTCATATAATATTAGGAGACAACACGCTGCAATTCAGTTACGTTAAGAAAGCCGTATGTTCAATTTCAACATGGAAGGGCTAACTAGTATCTACTTAAAAATAAAGGAAAGGAAAAGAAATGAGATAGCCACCAATAAATGCATTTACAGGGCACCTATGAAACATTTAGCGTCGGGTCCAGAACTATTAGCTAAAAATGTTACACAATTAATACAGGGAACTAGTAGCCACCTTAAATATCATAGTCCACATTGACCACTGATGACCCTGCCTCATATAATCATGATCTTTTTACGCTGTCACCATGCATGGTAACAAATCCTTCGCTGACGAGAGTATCAATTGCAGTCCTTAGCTGTATTAACATGAGTTAGCCCATTAGTTCACTCATCCTTAGAGATGGGGCGCACACATAAACACAGGTTAAAAAGTTTATTTTGTAAGGGAAGGGCACACTTACATCAGTGAGATGAACTTCACCGCCAGTGTTTTGTTTCTTCAATTCTTCCAATAACTACATGATCATTTTAAATATATTAGAACGTCATCTCAAACTTGACATAATCTGTATGTCGTATACTTTCACATAGAGCAAGCTAGCATACCTCCAATAACCGCATGGATGGTCCCCCAATTGGCATCTTCTCCATGATTATGATGCGGGTTGCTTTTAACAGACTTTCACGTCTCATCCTTTCACTTGCCGAAACCCCAGTAGTAATAAGATCCAAGTCAATAGCTCCTGTGAGGGAAAAGGAAACCAAAAGTAAACTCATTTTGATCTAGTTTCTCTGGGTGGAGGATAAGAGAAAATCAGGCTTGTTTGGAAAGCTACCTGTATAGGGATCCGTCGCAGACTGTTGCATCGCAACTTCCAGCAGCCGAAATGCCTCCGTTACGTCACTCAATTCAACCTGTGTGCATCAGGTTATTTGATAATTCAGCATGCTATTCCATATCTTCACATCACAAGGAAACTAAGCAAGCTTAACTAACCCATTCTGAGAAGCGAATCCGTGCCAATGCTTCACTAAGGCGTATCAGACTCTCAATCTGCCTCGGTGTTGCTGTTATCACCTGCTTAATTGATTAGCAAGATTAGCAAACACAGCAAAGAAACATGCATAAAAAATTTAATATCATTGTAATTCCAGTATTAGGAATTCACTCATTTCGCAGACATCAATGAGAAATATAAACAATAATGCTGACCTATCATGCACATCATTCTTAGTTGTGTGGAAATTACTCAACTCATTGCAGCACACATGGTGAATTCGTGATCTAAACAGATTGCTGAGCAATCGAACAATATACTAAGAAACAGTAACGTTTTATTTGCATCCAACAAAGCAAACATACAGAGAATGCAATCATTTTGAAGAGGCGAAAGGTATCACCTTCTTGCTACTCCCAGGAAAATTTCCCTTTTCCCTTATTTTCACGTAACCTCTAATCAATTCTTCAGCAGCTTCGTCAGACAGCTGTGGGTTTATGTGCTTTCGGGCATAGCTCACATAATCAGTTAGTATAGAAATATCCAGCACGTCCTGCTCCATGTTCTGTAATTGCAGAGACAAAACATTGCAAGTGAGTAAGTAAAAGCAACGAAGTTTGGATCTTAACCTTGAATGAGATGATAAGATTATACTAGACCTCGGGATTCTCAAAGTGTAGGGAAACAATATGTTTGGCAAGTCGTCTGTCAGTCTGTTCATCAGCTTTGTCAAGAATTAAGTAAATTAAATCGAACCTGCAAGAACAAAGATCAACTGGATTCATTAGTAACGACAGCAAAATTGTTCGGCAGCTTCAATTTATTTTTGTCAAGGCATTAACAAGCTTTATTTTAACCCCTACTCGCACTGGTTTGATAAAGAGACAACCGACTCAATGACATGATTAATATCTCTCTTGCTTGACAAAGAATCACAAAAATTAACGAGGCAAGGTCAAGGTACAAAATAGCTATTAAGCTGCCTGGGGATCGGAAGTTGTATACATATACTGCCAGACACATAATCTAGTTATCACAGCTTATGTCCAATGTCTAACCTGGACAGAAGAGTGGGAGGAAGGTGTATGTTGTCAATGACAGACAAGCGAGGATTATATCGTGACCCACTTGGATTTGCACAAGCCAACACTGAAGTCCTAGCATTGAGGGAAGCAATAATACCTGCCTTAGCAATTGAAACGGTTTGTTGTTCCATCACCTAGAATAAACCGAGACAAGTGCATTAGTTATTCAAAAAGAACTTAAAAGGCTTTGTCTTGCAGGATTTGTCGTAGTATACATTTCAAACCATACAGATATGACTGCAGAAACACTTCCTGAGAAAATATATATAGAAAAAGAACGTAATCAACCTCATGTAACATGCTCCTTGCATTGTCAGACATTTTGTCGAATTCATCTATGCAGCAGATACCTCGGTCACTCAAAACTAGGGCACCACTCTCTAGAACCTGAAGATTGAGCAGAAGTAATTAGGTTCCACTTTGTTTCTTGTACGGAAGACAATAAAAAATTATGTACTCATGGTTCCTACAGTTTCGCCTGTTTCAGGATCCTTGGTAACGTAAGCAGTCAATCCGACGGCAGAACTCCCCCTTCCACTTGTGTAAATGCCACGTGGAGATAGTTTGTGTATGTATTGAAGTAGCTGGGACTTGCTCGTCCCAGGGTCACCAACAAGAAGAATATTTATATCACCTCGGAAGCTAGCACCTGATGCCAACTTCAAAGCATTGCCACCAAAAAGCTGCAACAAAATGCAGATTAGCATCCTCAGAAGATCGGTCAAACAATCAATGAATGCAGAGCAAGAAAGATACGTAACCTGACAAAGAAGACCTCTCTTCACATCGTCAAGCTCCCAGATGTTTGGCGCCAATGACTTTGTCAGTTTTTCATATATATCTGGCTGCTTTGAGAGCTCCTTCAGTTGAGCCACCTGCAACTCAGACAAGCATGCAATTAGCAAGTGGAAAAAGCAAGCAGTGGATTTCATAGAAAATAGATACAAAAGGTACTTTTTCTTCATCAAAGAAAACTTCTTCGTTTTTGCGGTTGCCATTATCAACCTCCATAGCGTCCTCTACCAGCATCCTGGACTTATCAGCCTTTTTTATGTGAAGACAATCAATATATGTCTACAACATGAAGGGTCAAAAAAAAAACATCAATTAGATTAGATAAAAAATGTGATATTGGAGCTCTAAATTTAATTGAGTTACGAACATAATGAATACCTTGAACAATGACTTAACAGTTCTCTGAGTTGGTCCAACCCTGACACTCATAGCCCTATAAATACCAGTCACCTAATGAACAAGAAAACAGTTGATGGAATGATTAAACAAGCATATGGGCATTTATTTGTCAAAGTATGTCATAGTATGGCCTCACCTCAACTCTGTCACCAGGCTTTCCAGTATCTACGAGCTTGTCATGCAACAGCAAGCTAACTGTGTGAGGTGTTCCACCTTCAGGTATCTCGTCCGGGGTCTCCTGGAGCCTCACAATTTGCTTATCATTAAACCTGGTTTTAGAACAAATATAAGTTAATCACAGTTTCATGGTTACTGGATCTGAAATTCAAGTTTTCAACTGAAAAGCAGAATAGTCACATAATCAAGAAAAATTATTTAAAGCAGACGCTACTACCTATAGCCATCATCCCATTTATTATGTGTCACTAAAGTCTATCCAGTATACTTCAATTATATGAATTTTTAAACCACTCTTAACCTCTTCACAAAAGAAGCAGAGTTCCTAACCTTCTAGATTGAACTCAATTAACCTTTGTCAAATGTTACCTGATTTTAGGCTGAGCTTGAATTGACTTACCACGCTGAGCTTAACAGAAGGTTAAGTTTAATCTAAATTGACAGCAGGTTAATGTTACTTGTTAACATAGAAAGAGTCACTGTTAATTTTTCAAGAATAATTTCAAAGGCAGTGTAAGGATTCTAATTAGCTCTTAGTTTCGCAAGGCATTTTGAGGTAGCAGTTGGTGACTTTATAGGAGAATGTCAAACGGTTCAGAAGCTTAACTCCCGTTGCCAATTATTTATCTATCTTCTACCTTGGCAGAAAATTTTTAGTTCTACCACTGACTGCTCAAAGCAAAAACCAAAACGAACGGAATACTGTTCATATATAGTATGTCAATAAAAGAAGGGAAAAAAAAAGAAATCAAAGGAAGCTTGCTTCAAAATGTAGCTCCCTCAAGATCATGCCACAACATCAAATATTTAAAATCAGGTGCTTACATTCACAAATAAACCATAGGTGTGCATTACCTGCATCGGTTGTGAACCAGTGTCATGGAGTTCCTGGACTTACACTCTTCCCTCAAGCATATAGTAGGTTCGGTAATTCGTCCTAAAAATCACAATAGTCAGCTAAACACTACAGATGTAAAAATGACATTGATAAGTCACTATATGAATGAGCAGAAATGTCCCATGGAATTACCTCTCTCCACAGTAACTGGGTCAGAGCAGTATCCACACACAAGACACCTAAATATAGCTTCCCTAATTTCCGGTATGATAGAGCTACATCGTATGATCATTCCCTTCAATGAAACCATCCTCTCAACATCTGAAAAACAAAAAAGCGACCTCACATAACTAACTATACAACTATATAAGTCCGAATGCTTACAATAAAGCAGAGAATTTTGAATGATAATGGGGAAGATACTATAAACTCACCAGACGGGTTCAAATTTCTCATTGAAGTTGAGGTTTTGAGATTGAAAATCCGAGTTTGAATGTGCTTCTCGAACATGGGTTTCATTCGGCCAACCATATTCATCAAAACCAAGTCAAAAATTGCAAGCACCTCGATGGGATACCTAACCATCTTGGTGTACAAATCAGGGTCATGATCAAACACGTCACGTGCATCGACGTCGAGATAATCTCTTTCAATTTCAATCACATCTTTGATTAATTTCTCATACTTCCCTTCGGTATGCAAATGCAAACCGTCAACATCACCCTGCGTCGAAGAAGGTTCTCTGAAGTCCCTCAGAAACCTCTGAATCGCGTCATTCACATCTTCTACGCTAATATTCGTACCCCACACGAAGGTAGGCCTGGCGTCGTACATGTCGTAGCTGTCGCCGCCATCGGACGACACAGGCACGTCGTCGGTGGTGGAGGTGGGCGTGGCAGGAACGCGCCCTCCTCCTCCTCCGCCGCCGCTGCCTCTTTGCCTGGAGCGTGACGGAGTTGGGGTGGCATCGGCGGGGGCGAATCGAGATCGATTCGTCGGCGTTCCGAATGCGGACGGGGTGGAAGATCGGCGGCGGCGTCTCCCGCCGGGAGAGGAGAACGTGTTTCCGATGGGGCTCGAAAGGGAATCGTCAGGGGATGAAGGTCCTGAAAAGGGATTTATACAAATTCGAAATCACTAAGAAAACTGAAAATGGAAATCACAAGAAGAAGGTAGAAGGAGAGAGATACGAACCGTTGTTGAAATTAGTTGGAGAAGAATCGGAAGCCATGGCTTAGTGCCTAATTAGAGAGAAGTGAACACACACACCGAGAGAAAATCAGCAAGAGAAGAGTGTGTAGTTGATTAGTGAGTAGCGATGAATACACAATACCCACCTTCAACAAATGGCGCGAAGAGAGTCATGATTTTCCCGCCAGATATTTATGGGCTTACATATGGGCTTTGAAAGGCCCACTTGATAAATAACGTGGGCAAGTGAGAATTGATGCATTTGAAAAAAATATAAAAGGCAACAAAAAATATTGTATTGGCCCATTGGGCTTTAATGTAAAATTTATGGTGACATGTCAATTTTAGGTGATTGCTTTTGATAGGGTCATGGATGGAGCTAGACTTTTTGGATTGGAGGCACCATGTTTGATATGTATGATGATTGATAAGGAAGATAGAACTTCAAATCTGAGAAGGCAAGGTTTTATCATATTACAATTCCTATCCGTGCATAATTGAAAAGAAAAAAATATTACATATACACTGAAATCTTTTATTTTTAGCTCAATCATTTAAGTAACAAAAATATCGATTTCATCCCTCACTTGATAAGTATGAAAATTGCTTATAAATGAATCAATTAACCTCGTTGGGATGTATATGACTTAGGTTAAGTCAAACTTTAACTTAAAGGAGTTAGGTTTATATAAAATATTTTAAATTTGACTTGACTTATTAACTTGATACAAGATAAATTATAAATTTGGTTTGCCTTGTTTTTAAAAAATACAAAGCTTAGGCTGATCTTCAAAACTACCAAGTATTGTATTTTTTAAAACACCCAACTTATACAAAGATACCAACTAACTTATATGAGAATTTCCCAAACAAATAAATAAATAAAAAAATAAAAAAATAAATCACATACATAAATACATGTCCAACAAATAAGAACAAGATATGTAGATATATACAACACTCATAAGTTAAATAATATATATTTTTTAATGGAAATTTTGGAAACAGACAATTTTATCAATGGGACACAAAACGAGTAAAAAGTACAAAAAATGAAAACTTACTATCAGCTGCAAAAGTCTTAAGAGTTGATGGTGAGCGATGATTTTGAAAGAATTAAAAGTTGAGAAGGGAGCAAAAAAGAGCAACAAAATTTGGCGGACGAGAGAAAAGCGGTGGTGGTGAACCCACACTTGTGCAAGTGTAGGCAAGTGCTGAAACAAAATTTTCGGGGAATTTTTTTTTATTTTTTTCTATTTTTTTTTATTTTTTGTGTTTCCACTAGTTGGTTACTTGGTGACAACAAGTGGGATTTTGGGAATGGATCGGAGTATATTATGTATAATCAACGACAGTAAGTGTTTCTGAACCTACCATGTCATATATATACATAGATAACTAGTCCTACGTATAAATAGTTAGGGTAATTCATTTGATTTGTTCTTATGTCATTATTAAAATGATATGTTTTATTAATAATTATAAAATGTTACATTATTTTTTTTATTTTGTTTCTTGTTTTAATAATTTACAAAGGAAATAACGAAAACAAATATTATATTAACTACAATATTTTTTTGCAAATTTTTAAATATAAGAAACATAATAAAATAATGTAACATTATTATAATTACTAATAAAAATATTATTATTTAACAATGACAATAAGAGCAAATCAAATGCACCCTTAAAGGTGATATAATCCATTTCTTCACTTTAAAAATAGATATATATTATTAAATTAAGAAACTCATATAAAACAAATGATATTTTCACTTATTATAACTTGTATTATTTTTTTGATCAATATGACGTTAAGGTTTGAACTTATAACTTTATATAACTCTTGATTACTATTATTTTATCTTAAGTTGAAATTTTTATTTCTTTTATTGTTTATATTCTTTTTTTTAATGCATTTAAAGATTTTTTTTTTAAAAAAAAAAAATTGGGAGCACAGCCCGTAAATTCTTGCCACTAAGTGTGCAGACATAAATAAAAGTTTTGAGTCCGCCACTATAGAAAATAAAGTTAAGAAAAAAATGTATTTGGCAAGTAAGAATAAGAAAGATTGTGAAAAATTATAAATAAAAAAATTAGAAGATATTATTTTATTAAAAAATAATAAGAAATTATTTTATTGAAAAATAAGAAGAAATTATTTTATTGAAAAATAACCAATATTATTTTATTGAAAAATAACAATATATTAATTTATAAAAAATAACAATATATCAGTTTATCAAAAAATAATAAGATATTATTTTATAAAAAAATAAGATATTATTTATTAAAAAATACGAACTGAGTCCGAAAGATTAAAGGTTAGGCCTGTTAAAATAGGCTTATGACTTGATTTTTAAAGAGGCACTTTAATGAATTTAAGCCTATATTATTTTTAAAATAGGTCAAGCCAAGTTGTAGGCTTTTAACAAGCCTCTCGACCCATTTACATCCCTTATATTGTAGTCTTGGCATATATGGGATCAAGGACAAAAGAAAACAGAAAAAAAGGAAAGGAACTACCAAGAATGCTTAACCAAAATGTAAAACAACTACGAAAATAAATTTTGGATTTTTTAAGGGTTTATCTTTTCTCCTGCTGCAACAGGAGATAAAGTTACCTCCAGTAACCCAAAAGTTATGATGTTTTGAGGGTTGAGGGAATAAATGAATGATAATTTGGTAAAATTCATATAACAAATTAAGAAACACACAATTTTATTTAAATATCCTTCATTAGTTATCCCAATTCCCGAAACGACGTAATTTTTTGGTTACTAGAAATAACTTTATCTTCCCTTTTTAAAAAAAAATAAAATGTTAGAGAGATACAAAAGAATTAATAAAGTATCACCTAGCGCCTTAAGATTTTGTATCGAAATGACATTTATCATAGTATTAAAAAAATTGGCGCTTATGTCATGGTATTAGAGTTAGAGTGATTAGTAGGTCATGATTTCGATCCTTACAACCTCACTTTCATGTGGAATTGAGAAAAACACAAGGTAAACTAAAAAAATGGACTTGTATCATACACACGCTTCAAGTTCAAAAAACTCTTGCATAAGGGGTTGTGTTAGAAAGATATAAATCTCACCTTACTCTTAAGGTTTTGGTTAAAATGACACTTATAAAAAAAAACTTGTTATTTATTAACCAATAATGGTAACGCTGAATGGAATTTTAAGCCTAAAGATTTCGAAGGGAAGAAGAGGCAAAACAAGAATAAAATTTATTGATTTATTGTACTAGATAATTAATTTAAGCTAAAATATAACGTGGACAAAAACGGTTTGGAACCCGATGATAATTAAGAATAAGATTTCAATAAGAGCTCAATGAAACTTGGTTACTTTAATTTTCTAATGTGGTGCATTTTCAAAAATCTTTTCAAGAACACATGATTCCTTTAACAAGCACAAAGTAATATTCATCATTTTTAAAACACTTTGGTTTTAGGCTTTAAGCTTCTTTCTGATGATAATGACATTTTACATAATATAATATTAGTGATGATTAGATCAGCATCTAATGGCCAGTTAATTACATTAAGTAAAGCATCAAAATATACTTGCTATGCTGCTTTTAACATAATATATTATAGACAAGAATCATATGAGCAATATGTTGATGTGTGTGCATTCTCATGACATCCAGCTACGGACAAATTATGATCATGTTTGGAAGTTGGAACTGACATCTAAATATTAGTGAAATGTGAAAGAAGTGATTTTAAATCAAAACAAGAACAACTATAAACGGGGGAGCACGACAAGACCATTATATATTATAGAGTGGCTAAAGCAACCGACCAATTCAACCCAATAGTTAAATTAATGGTTTTATATTTATCTTAATTGATTTCAAAGGCTATTATAATAGAAAAATACAATTGTACTTCACAGTTTACTGTGCACAAAAAAAAAGAGGGGATTAATTGTTTGAAGGTCGTACATAATCCCATATGTTTTCTTAATTTAGAAGCTTTGCCAAAATAAGTTTTAGAATTAATTGCTTACCTACTTTAATTTAAAGGTGATTTTCCCGTTCTATATTTCTTTCCCACATTAAATGCTAAACAACGTCCTCCATGTGAAATTTGTTTATCCATGATCAGAAAATAGGATTTTAATATCATGACTAGAATGAGCAAATCATCTATAAGCCGTTTGTAGTAGTGTGATTATGGAGAATACACGTATTATTAGACCTAGTTTGGTATGTGGCTCTATATATATTTCAAGTTATATAAAGGATATGAGTGTGGATCCTCGCATGTTTAAAAAGACATGACATGGTCATGTGGTTAATCATAACCATACAATTAAAAGTGGATCAATGGTGATAAGAGAGGAGAGAGAAAAATATATTAAAATAGATAATTATTAAATCATAATCGTTGATTCACCTTTGTATGATTATGATTGTCTCACATCACCATGTCATGTTTTTTTTTAAACACGAGAGGATGCAATTCGAGAGGATATATTCCTTATGTTGCGTAGCTCACAGTTTTCTCATATAGCTAGTGTGACTTCCTCTTTTTCATAAAAAGTTTAAGCGCACTCGGTTTAACTAGTACTTTACTGCAAAAGCTAACTTGAAACTGAGTTCTACAAGATGCCTGACCTTTCATAACCTCTTCTAGCTATATACGTACAACATTGATAATAAAAATGTAACAAGTTAAATTATTTAGGGTTACGGAGAGTGATTCTTCCCAAGTCCGTAAGCTTCCTTAGTATAAATGTAATTATGTACGTCTATATATATAATTTTTTGTCCGTGATCTATATGTAAGTGCGTTTCTACAAAATATATATATAAGAGGTTTCACACATATATATACCATTCGAAAAGTCATACATATAATTGATCTCAAAATTCATTTCGAGCAAGGCAAGAAAAAAACAAATGCAAAAATGCATACTCATGTTGCAACTTAATTAGGTACACTTAATATTGTCGTTTTGGAGAGGCAAAAGAAAAAAAGAATGGACGTCTGGTTTTGTGTTCAGTTTCATGCCATTGAAACAAACAAAAGCGTCTACCACTTCGAAAAATCCTTGGCTTGCCAAAGTCGATTATACTCATTAGTTATATTATCATGTGTTCTTGTTCCTATCTAGAAACTTTGGGTTTGATGCGGCCTAAAGATGGCACTATACAAATTGTATTTATGTAATATTAAATATTGATGGCATTGAAAACTTGTAATTTGTTCCAACTTTGCTTCAGGCTGGCAAGGAATAGTAGAATGGCGACAAAATTAGGGACTCGAAGTAAGAACATTATGATTAACAAAGACCTAAAAAGCGAATCACGACAAAACAAGAAGACAAAACTGCCAAACCTATATGTAGGGGCTTATTGCAACATGCTAAATAAAATATCAAAGTGTAAGTAACAAATGTATAATATTTATAATTGAGTCATTGTTATTTCAACCAAAACAAATGTAAAATATTAGTCAGTCTACATTGATTACTGAGATAGTCTCCCTTATATATCATCATTTAATGTTCCATGATCACATCTAAATGCCTTGTCATGTTTTTCATGATCCAGAAAGAAATTAAGGCTTTGGGTGTGAAAAACCTGGCAGGAAGAGTTCTGTCACTCATGTGGTTTTGTCCGACTCGATTTAATTAGTCAATTAATCGATAAACCAGTAGGGAAATCTCAAAAGAAAAAAGAAAAGAAAGAAAGAAATTAAGGTTTTGGGTGTGAAAAATATGGCATACCAGGCCTGAAGGAAGATAAGGGAAACGGATGCGGTTGAGGAAAATAAAGCTCATGAGCAGGAGTGGCTGATAGTGGAGCCATAGTTGCACCATCACGTGTGTGGATTGCAGCACTGGTAAGATTGAGATTGTGCTGGTGTATGGTGCTGTCTCCCCTAGCATCATTGAAGCTTTGTTCAGGGCCTTGATCATAAAGAACACCACTAAATACATGCCCTCCAATATTCACAGATGTTTGATAGGCCATTTCATTAACACTATCATCCATAGACCGCACCTGAACACAGTTGAATACAGTCATGGAATTCATAGCAGCTGGAAATTTGAACTCCTCTAAACCTGATATAGACAGTTAGACACTATATTAGTTAGATAACGAAAAATGAGGGGGATGGAAAAAGAACAAAGGAAAAAAAGGAGAAGTAATATTGAAACCAGATTGAAGTTTGAGCTGGAAGATGAAAATAGGCTTAATAAGTATCTGTTTTTATGAGTATATATGATGATGATTTCCAGACATAGAATAATAACAGCAAAATTGAGGAAAAGGAAACTGTTAGGGCTCTATTATATATATATGGATCTTTACTTTGGTTCTAATGGAGAAATTAATGTACAGTACTTGAATATGGGTTGTGCTTGTGGCTTTGGTGTGGATTAGTGGTAGGAGATGGCTGCTCCAATCTCTGGCGCCTTCTATCGACAGGAATCCATGTGCTTCTAATATGGGTTTTGCACTGAAACCCTTTGTTCTTGCAGCAAGTTCTGCACCTTGAGTATGCACAATCCTTCTTTGCTTGATTCCCACAGTCTTCACACTTTGAATCCTTTACTACTTCTTTGCCTTGCGTTCTTGACATCTCCTTTTAACTGAAAAATCACACTCTACTACCTTTTGGCCTTTCCCTACGATCTGCTTCAAGATTAGTACTCTCAGTGATGGGTATCGAACAAAGTAATAATTTCCTATATATATATATATATAAGTACTTCACACAAGTTCAAAAAAATAAATTTACGCCATGGCAAAGCTGTCATATATAATAGCAGAGAATCAAATCAATTCTAGATAGAAGTAAAACCCACAATTGTATATGAACCAATAGTAAAATTTTACTGGGAAAAAAAAAAAGTAATAAGGATATCATATATTCACATCAAAATGATTGATTTTATAGGGTGGTTTTGAACAAATTAAATCATGTAATTTATATATGAGCTTCTCAACAATTTAGGTTTAATTGTGTCAATTTTGCATCTCTTTATCAATTGTAAGTGTGACAAAATTAGTTTGCAACTTGGTTTTGTTAGATTCGTCCTTTGCATCAGGAACTTGATAACAATTTGATGGTTTAGACTTTGACCTACGTTTACTTTACAAGTGAAAGGAAGTCATGTTGTAGAGACAAAAGCCCTAATTTTAAGTAAACCTAATTATTAGGCGTCACTCCTGAACTTGATTATAAGAAATTATGATTATGAATCAATTTTGTAATTAAAGTGCTAGTTATATAAGAAAACAAAACTCTAGTAGGTGCTGGAAAGAAAAGGAAATTGGTTCATATATCGCCAGCCCCTCAATATGTACTAGACCTTCAATTATTATCCCTTTCAAATTCTTCACAAATTATTTTAGTCAAAATCGTGTGGCGTCACCTAAAAATTCAAACTTTTTAACTTTGGCAAACTCTGAAATACTTTTAGCCTATTTTTCTTTTCGCGTTCTGTATTGCTAGGGCGAGACATACTGCTTCCATTACCCCTCTTTTTGACTGAAACTTGTTAATTATATGGAGTCAGGACTTGGACAAAACATATGGTAAAGACTAAAAGATATAAATATTATGCATGCTGAACTTTCTTACTTAAATTAATTTAGAACACGAAAGATCTCCACACTCGTGGTTAAAGTTGCTTCTTTCAATTGTTTTTGGGACCCATTTTTTGGGTGATTGTTAAATTAATTAAAGTTCGGCAATTATTTATATCTATTTTTCTTAAAAACATAATTGACATGTATATTAAGCATTTCATTGAGTACGTCGTCTTCGGCTATTATCATATACAATTCCGTATATATGTAAATTGTTGGAAAAACTGAGGGTCAGTTAAACCATCGAGGTAAATGGAGTGTCTTAGAAAAACTTTGTGGGAGAAGAAAAGAATTTGAAAAAGGTTTGAGCTGCTGACAGTTTAGCTCACCCTTTACCAGCAATTATAATAATCAACGCCAACAAATATTGACTTTTGACGGGCCTATTCTATCCATGAAATTCCATCTCAATCTCAACATGTAAACTTCAAACCCTTCTTTCTTCCCAGATTTTTACCAAACAAATTCTTCATTATTGACAACATATTATCTCCATGAAAATCCATCTCAATCTCAACAAGTAAACTTCAAACCCTTCCTTTCAACCCTTCCTTTCAAATATTTCCTTCTAGACTAAACAGAGCATTTGATTACAACTATTCTTCACAAAGTTATCTTTTGTCTCAAATCCAACTTCTTTATCCGTTTCAATTTAAAGTATGGTTGTTTTGTTTGAATAGGTAAAAATTGAGGATGCGACAATTTTCCAATGAAAACCATTCCAAACTTTGCTTGCTACAACAAAAATACGTAAAGACTGGATAACTTTCCCCTCACAAATTTTTCCACTCCCAGAAAAAAGAGAGGTTAAATGCGATTTTTCACCAATGATGATGACACTCAAACAATAGTCTCGCTTCATTTTCACTCCCCTCCATTTTTCCCACACAGTTGGGAACACAAGAACAGCAAAACAAGGTGTTATTGCCTGCAGAATTGGATTTCAATTCAACCTCCTTAATCTTTGATCCCAATCCAAATCAAGGAAAATCCGAATTTTCTATCTTCCCACAATCAAATCTGAACCATTTGCTATCATCAGAACATAGTAAATTATCCACCGAAAGCATAAAATTGGCCTAACTAACATATATACAAAAGCAGACAACTAAAATCATTCTCCCAACAAAGGAAGTTTTTTTTTTTCCCCCCCCTTCAGATATATACATTCAGTACACGGTATCCACATAAAAGAAAGTCACGATTTTACATATCCCAACGATCCAGCTACGACATATTCAAATACAAATTACATTCAAGTTCAACCAAATCTAATAGTTAAAGCAACTAAACTAACCCAATTCAAGACCCTTTCTTGAAGACCCTCCAATTAGTGATTTTTACCTTGCCAATTAAGAATTAATAATTGTGCTTAAGGCCCAGACCATGCTTGCCACGTACACACCCAGGACTCACAAACAGATGAGGAGATCTCTTGGAATTGTGCATCTTCGAAAATGCCCTTTTCCCCAATTTCCTCATTCTCTGTCTCCCCAACTTGTTGTTGACATTCCAAGGAACGAGCTCATCATCCAAATCATCGTCATCGTCATCGTCATCATCATCATCATCGTCAACTTGTCCCTTACGATACCCATCTGCGTCACCATCAACAAGAATACGATCACCAACGTCATCACGGTGGTCTTCCACATCCGCATCAGGATGAAGAAGGAAATGGCGAATTTCTTCAATTGGGGTATCGTTGGGAGAAGAAACGGACCAAGAATTCGAAGAATCCCAAGAACCGAAACCATCCACAATGCCATTGCTAACCCCATCATCATCATCTTCTTCTTCTTCTTCAGTGTCAAACACGTTGACGAGTTCCCATTGCAACAGAGAATCGTCCTTGACCTTCAAGAATTGAACTTGTTCGAGGAGGAGGAACTGCATCGATGGGGTTGTGGATTGGTTTTCCATTGTTACCCTAACAAACTAACTTCTCTTTTTCTTCTCTTTTTTTTTTTACCTCTTTGGATTTGTTTTGCTTTGTTTTGTTTCTGTTACTGGCTTTGGTGCGTGCTTCGGGGTGTATGTCTTTATAAAATGCGTTGCTTGCGATGCACGACACGTGTCGCTACGAGACAAAACGATAACATTTTTGCTTACGTGCTTAATCCAATACGCAACTTACACGTGTAAATCATTATGTCCGTACGGGTGGATACTTGCTGCTTACGCATACCCCAGATTTTTATTATTTTTTAAAATAAATATGTGGTAAAGTCTGAAATTACTACAAGTATGCATTAAACATCTCTTTAGGCACATTTTTGTTTCTTTATTTACGTTTTGACACATTTTTATTTCTTTATTAACGGTTTAAGGAAATTGCTTCCCCCGCAATCGTATTTTCTCATTGATGTACATATAAATATAGGAATTAATATTTCTTATAATATAAGAGATAATTTTATTTTATTTATATAAAAATATGTAAAGTTAATATTTTTTTCACTCTTCTCTTCATATAATATCACATAATTTTATGTATATATAAGAGATAAAATTTAATTTCTATAAAAAATATTATTCCCATTAATATATAGGAATTTATTTTTCTTATGATACAACAACATTATTCCTCATTCTTACGTATCCATGGGACTTTGCACCAATTTTTTTTTTATATTAAGTGATGTGCTTCATCTCAATATAGCTTCCCTCCTTCAACTGCTGAAAAGAATTTCCCAAATATATATGTATTTCACAACAAAGTTTAATGATAAAATTGAATTATAAGTGTAAAACAAAGATAAATTTAATTATAAATTATATGATGAAAATTATGGAGGTGTGAGATAATATGTATGTATGTATGTGTAATTTTTTTTTCCTTAACATAATATATTTTTTATTAAAAATTTCCAGCGGAAATATTTATGAACTTGCCTTAGTTTTATTGGCCATTGTTTCCTTCGTTTTTTTATTTATTATTGGCTTGTTTTTTCCTTCCTTCTTTCTATAGTTTCATAAATATTATTTTCACACTTAATTTTTTTTATTTAAAAATTCGAGAAGGAGAAAAAGGAAACATAAGTTGTTTTCTCTCATATTTTACCATTACAGATAAGTATGAAAGGAAATTAAAAAAAAAAATCAAACATAAAAGCAACATACATTATATAATGATAAAGCAAAATAGTAAAAAGAATTTAAAGGGCAACAAAGAAAAGAAAAAAACAAAACGAAACGTAGTGAGGAAGCATTTTTTTCGTTTTTATTTTTATTTTAACTGGAAAAAATGCAACACCAAACACATCCAGGATCATTGTTGTTAAAAACTAGTATAAAAATGTAAAAATTACGTTTTTACTAAGATGATACGTGTTAAAACGCAAGTAAAAGCTCTTATCAGTAAAAACTGATAAAAACTAAGTGTAAAAATATAAAAAAGGTAGAAATATAAGTTTTTACGTTTTTACTTAAAACAAAAAATCGAACCAGATCAACTTTTAACCCATGAACTGGTTTTTTTAAAAATGAAATAAAATAAAAAATCCTATTTCCATTTCTCTCAAATCAAATGCACAATATCTTCTTCTAGCTATTTGAAAAAAAAAAGGGTATGCATTTATCATTTAACATGACACAAGAAAGTTTCATACACACACAACATTTTGTGGGGCCACACTTTTTGAATAAAAAAATAATAATTACAGCACACAAAACGAATCTCTATAACATTAAACAATCACTTTTCCTATAACATAACTTTTATAAAACCCAAAAAAAAAAAAATCCTCATGCAAGGCCTCTGTATTTCCATTTAAGAGATGTTACACTTTATTTTTTTTTAATATTGTGGAACTTGACTATATAAGTTGTTAAACTCTTTTTGTGTTTTTGGACTTATGTCTGATATAGTTAGGTGACTTTTATCTTTTAAGAGAAAATACCCTTTTAGGTCCATAACAAAAAATACGGTCCTCACTTTAGTCCCTTACAAAAAAAAAATAGTCTCGAGGTTCCTAAGAAATTCAAAGTGGACCCTTGTTGATGTGGTGTGTTTCTTGTTGCCATCTAGTTCGCTACTGCGTGTAGCGAACTAGGTGACAATTAATACCGCTCGGTTCTGACAAAAACAAAACACGTGGCAGTATCATAGAAGTTCGCTAGGATAATAGCAAACTAAGTAAAAATAACTGTTGAAATATATGTCAGATACACATAAGTTCGCTACACTAAGTAGCGAACTATGTGCCCATAAAAAGCTGACTAAGGTTGACCGTTGCTAGTGCTTTGCTTAGTTAGTCATTTACCTTTGCTTTGGAAAGCGAGAAAAAGATGATGTTGGAAAGCGATTAGGCCTTATAAATAACCAAACCGAGGAAACTTACTTTCATTTATTATTAGAACACACATAGTTCGCTACTTAGTGTAGCGAACTTATGTGTGTCAGACTATTTTTACTTAGTTCGCTATCACTTCTAACGAACTTCTATGACACTGCCATGTGTTTGCTTTTATCATAGCAAAAAGATATTAATTGTCACCTAGTTCGCTGGGCACTGTAGCGAACTTGCCCGCGTGGCATATTGAAAAATAACATTGTTCGCGTGACATTTGGATAAAAAAGTTGGTAAACAGTAGCATTTTGGTCCATGTTCCCAAATTATCACCATCCATTTTTATTTTATTTCTTTCTCTCATTCATCAACATCAATGGTGATGATACTCATAAGAATATGTAGAAACAAAAAAATTCATGAGCAGGGATCATTTCTCTTATATTAAATTATCATTAAGGTTCTATGTTTTCATTTTTTTTTTTTGCTTTATGTCTTTACTTCAATGTATAAAAAAAAATCATTAAGGCTAGACACCACTAGAAAAGTCTTTTTTATCGACGGAATTTTTCGGAACTACGGGGATGGAAATTTTGGGATAAGATTGGAGAATGTGCTTATTGTCAAGGAGGCTGATACATAATTCAATTTTGGTTTCTTTGGATGAGCAATTGGAAGACTGCACCACAAATAAATCAGTGCCAATTTTAATTCATATTACACATGTCCAAGAATTCTGAAGTCAGTTTTGCATTGAGTATTGATTTGTTAATTTTTATTTATTAATTTTTTAAGGTTACAATGTATACTTATTGTACACCACTCGCTAATTGTATAAGTCTTTTTTTAATACGTAGCATAATATCATGATATGAACTTTTGTTCATTTAATGTGATGATTAAGGAGATTTATTTTGATATGTTGTTTAATTTGATTATATTTTTTTTCAAGTGCATAATAGAAAATTGATATTAATTTTGTAGAGAGAATTTTTTAAAAAAAATTCTAAATTTTTTAAAAAAAATTCTAAATTTTTTAAAAAAAATTCTAAATTTTTTTGACGAAATTTGTTTTTCGACGGAAATTCATTGATTTTTCGTTGAAACTTTTCGACGGAATCTATTTTCCGTCGAAAATCATCCTAAAAATTTTCCACGGAATTCCATTGATTTTCCGTTGCAAATTTTTGACGAAATTTGTTTTCCGTCAAAAATTTTTACATCAGTTTTTGACGAAATTTCATTGATTTTCCGTTAAAAATTTTCAACGAGATCCATTTTCCGTCGAAAACCATCACATCAATTTTCGACGGAATTCCATTAATTTTTGTCGAAAATTTTTCACGGAAATAAATTCCGTCAAAATTTTTTAACGGAATCTTTAATTCCGTCAAAAAATTGGTTATCAACCAAGGAAAATTCGACGACTTGAATTCCGTCAAAAATGAATTTTCGACGGAATTTATACCATTTTCAACAGGATTTTTCTGTCGAAAAAATTGACTTTTTTACTAGTGAGAGTGCACGGTCGATTTTCGCAGCAGAAAGTTGAACTGAAACACAGATTGAAGAAGATGAAGAACTCTATCTGAAAAGAAAATGGTCATCAAAACAGGGGGCGTATGATGTTTATAACGTATAATAGTGGAATTAATTGTAATAAGGGAATAATTTTTTTAAAATTACTTTAAATTTTTTTATCTAATATTCACCGAAACAAAATCAGAATGATAAAAACTATTATAACCTTAGAATAAATTAAATTCTAAAATAACGTCATTTCAGTAAATATAACACATATTTTTCTAAAATAATTTTTTTTAAAACGAACCCTTGTGATAAAACAATATTATATTTTAGGGAAAAGTCCATCAATACCCTCATGATTTGCTTCAGAATCACCTCTGCTCTTGTAGTCTTTTTTATCACATATGCCCCTGTGCTTTGTAAAAAATAAAAAACCACATGAACATATATGTGATAAAAAAACATACCTTTTGCAAATCACAGGAACATATGTGATAAAAAAAATCATAAGAATATAAGTGATTCTGAAATAAATCACATAAATATTGGTGAACTTTTCCCTATATGTTATGGAAAAGTGTGTATCATTTTAAAAGATGTAAAGTTATGTCATTTTAAGAGAGAGAAAGAGATAGATAAAGAAGGAGAGAGAGACAAAAAAAAGTAAAAGTGTGACTCCCACCATGGTAGTTAAAATCAGGATTTTACCTAAAATCGAAAAGAGGATAAAAAATCGTAAATCGTAAAATCTTAACGTAACAAAAATCGTTAATAATCATAAAAGTGTTTGAATTTTTGATGAAATCGTTTTGATTGAAAAAAAATCGTAAAATCATAAAATCGCATATTTAAATTGAGATTTTAACTACTATGATCCTGCCTCTTTGTGAGAATAAAATGATATAAATTATGTCATTTAAAAAGATAAACACTATATTATTAAGCGTGTTTCCATAAATTCACCACTGTGACAATGTGATTCAGGTTCTCTTTACTGCGCCAAGCACTAACCTAATAAGTATATATTCAGTGGCCCGTCATGTCTTAAGATTTTCATCATTGTTAATGTTGTACACTAATCAATGAAAAGCAGTCACGTCTCTAATCTCCGGACATTAGAATATGTAAAATAAAAAAATATTTGAAAATATATTACAATGACTATAAATATAGAGTTCATTTA